CTTCCCGGCACCAGGTGTCTCTTCCCCAGGGAGGAGTCGGAGGCTCTGCTTGGCTGAGAAGCTGGCATTCTTTTCCTTTCTCTGTGACACTGGTCTCTCCCTTCTAGCTCTGACCCTAAGGGAGGAGGAGCTCGAGAAAGGGGAGGCGATAGGTGGCATGGGGGTGGGGGCTGAGGAAAGCTGTGCCACCTCAGCCAGGAAATGCGCACACGTGACAGACCCGGAGTCCTGCTCAGGGGGGCTTCTGGGCTCCATGTGCCTCTGAGCCAGACGTGGAGTGCGGGGCCTCCGGCAGGCGCATGGGCCACGGCGTTTGCGTGGTGTCATGCCTCCAAGCCCCTGCGCAGCCTTTGGCTCCTCCCACATCCACTCTTCTTGAGCCTGCAGGGGTGAATATTCTGCTGGGAACCCCCACCCCAGCCTCAGACCCCCTCTGGCTTCCTCAGGGGCTGCTTGGGGTAGGGGGGAGGCACAGGGTCCCCAGAGCGCCTCTACCTGACCTCACCACTGCTGGACGCAGGGCCCAGCCAGCTCCCTGCACACGCACTTGCCCCAGGATTCGGGGTGTCTCTCTTGACACAGGCATCACCAACTTGACCTTCCCATTATCCGACCAGCCGGTGCTGGGAGAATGGTTCATTTTTGTTGAAATGCAAGGCCACGTATACAACAAGTCCTTTGAAGTTCAGAAGTATGGTAAGTGGGGAACCCGGGATCCTAGGACTTCAGATCTGGGAGAAACCATTGACCCAGGGATGACACAGATGCGGAAGGGGTGGATGGCAGGAACCCCAGGCGTCGAGGGCCGGGAAGGCCAGGCACAGTGTGGAAGGCTGGCCTTTGTCATGTTTTTTCTTTTCTTTTTTAAAAATATGTTTTTATTTATTTTTAGAGAGAGGGAGAAGGGAGAAAGAGATAGAAACATCAATGAGAGAAATATCCACCCATTGGCTGCCTCCTGTATACCCCTTCCTGGGGATCGAGCCTGCAACCTGGGCATGTGCCCTGATCGGTAATCGAACCAGCGACCTCTTGGCGCTTGGGTCTGAAGCTTAACCACTGAGCAGCACTGGCCGGGCTGTTATGTCTTTTCTAAAAAGGGGTGGTAAAATATAAGTAACGTAAAATTACCACCTTAAGCATTTCTAATGGACAATTCAGCGGCATTAAGTACGTTTGCATTGTTGTGCAAACATCACCACCATCCATCGCCAGAACTTTTTTATCTTCCCAGACTGAAACTCTGCCCCTTTAAACACTAACTCCCTTCTTCCCCTCCCCAGCACCTGGCACCCCATCTACTTCCTGTCCCCATGAATCTGACGCCTCTAGGGACCTTCCATACGTGGGATCACACTGTATTTGTCTGGTGGTGCCTAGCTCTTTCTCTCAGCACGTCCT